AACAACTATGCCTTAAAATAATTCCTTTTCCATGGGCAAAGAAAAAGATCTGTTTTGAGCCTCTGAACACATCACTGGAAGAACTCAATTTCCTCTTTGTGTGCTGAGGACACCTGCCTCCAGTCGTGACAAGAAAAGTGTGGTTATAAAGAGGTGGGCAGCTTTTACATTAGGCAGCAATTAGTTCCTGGGACAGGAACTGAGAAAGCCAGGAATACATCAAATATTAGCAGATTTACCTCCCTAAATATCTGCTGCCACAGGCTGCTGGGGCTGTGTCCCTGCCAGCTGCATTGTCCCCCATAAATCACACTGTCCCCTGCACTGATGCCACTCCATCCAGCAGCTTCATCACGCCACATAATGCACGGTATTCACTTCGGGGAACACTCTGTGAATACTGATTGGCAACATTTGGCCCATATTCTTATTCTTACTAATTGCAATTTACTTCAGAAACAGACCCACTGATTTTGCTTTCCCAGCACAGCAATTTTTCTGGTTCTCCCTTCAATACTTTCACACACTTATGCCCAACTTAGCTGCTGATCTCCAATATTCGAGGTAATTATCAGGTAATAAACTCTTAAATGAACTTGTAACTGGGAAGGAGTGTCAGCTGACTGGTTTTTTCCTCTGAAACACAGTCTTTGCTTCTTCATCATGTATTTTCCACAACCACCCTTGCAATGTAGTAGTTTTTTAAAGCCTGATTTTAATTTTTTTCTAGTCATCTGTTTAATCATCTCTCAGAGACAACTGGGGACTGGCATCTGTGATGACTCTTGCTGCATCACTTTGCTGCTGCCAGCTCAGTATGTCTCGCTATGCACTTTATTGCTGGCTATTAATTTTTAAGCTAGCTTTATGCTCCTTATTAACAGCTCATTTCTCAAAAGAGAAAAATGATGTTGTTGCAATCCCAAGTTTTATAGAAATACAACATGAACATCTGAGAAGAGGGCAGAGGCTTGTTTCTGAGGGATTATATTTCCATCTCAAATTCCTTTCCCTCTTCTCTATGCTACGAGGGTAACACGTAATTTCACTTTATAAAAAATAAATAAACCCACCAACCAGGGTACTGTCATGCATTATTCCTGAGGATGACAGAGGTTATTGGTCTGCATAATTTTCATGCCATCAAACTTCCTTTTTGCCTCCAAAAGGCGAGCCAATGTAGGCCACTTTTAATGAGGAGCCCTGTGTGTGCCTTTCCCCACACTGCACAGCAATTGGGCACTTAAAACTTCATGTTGTCCCTGCATCATCACCATATTTTGTCTTCTTTCAACAGGGCTGACTTCTGTCCACAACGCTGGGCACTTTCATATGGTGAAGTCTCTTGGCTGCCTCATTAACTCTGAATCAGTGTGTGCCCTTGCATTTTACTGTATCATTTCCTCCAGCATTCATTTTGCTGCAGTTAGCCTCTAGCTAGAAACTTCTAAAAACAAGATGAAATTACTTGCTTAACAACATACAAGTCAATTATAAGGCCATTAAAAGATACACTAATCTATTCCCTTGTTTGGTCATGGCATCTTGGTTAAGATCATGCAGTGTATTCTCATATGGTATCTGTGAAATCTTCTGCTATAAATTGTAAGCTCCTGTCCACAGCACCTGTTCTTCTGTAAAAGACACAGGAATTAGAAGAGCTGCTGTCTTTAGCTTTGCAAACACAAGGAATTAAAGTGGTACAAGCTGTGTGGAATCTAGGGTTCCCTCTCTGCAGTGCTTCATTCCCCAGATATTTTAATGGGTTTGTTATTGGGATGGGAGAATTTGAAAGAAACCCAGCACCTGCAGGCATATACTCTCTCCTGGCTGGCCTGGACTCCAAGGAAGAGTTAAACTCCCTAGACTCCACTCTGCTTCCTATCTTTACCCTATTCTCTTTCTATTCCATTTTTCTCACTACCCCCATGTGCAGCATCCAGACTCTCCTCTCCCTCTCCAGGGGCTAAGGCAGAGGCAGTGAGTGCTGCACTGAGCTGGGCAGCTCCTCTGCCAGCCAGGCTCACAAACTGAGTTACCAATAAATATTGGGACTTTAAACACCTTTAAACACATGGGCTCAGCAGTTCCCTTAATCCCTACAGTATTTATTAAATTAAAACTATACTAAAAGAATAGAAGAAAGGATTTCATCAGAAGGCCAGCTAAGAACAGAAAAGGAATGATAACAAAGGCTTGTGACTGACTGAGACAGTCCAGACAGCTGGACTGTGATTGGCCATTAATGAGAAACAACCACACGAGACCAGTCACAGATCCACCTGTTGCATTCCACAGCAGCAGATAACCATTGTTCACATTTTGTTCCTGAGGCCTCTCAGCTTCTCAGGAGGAAAAAATCGTAAGGAAAGGATTTTTCAGAAAATATCATGGCTACAAATCCCCACCTTAAACCCACTGCTAAATCCTTCTGCTCCCCTCTGCCCTGTACCCCGGGGGTGTGGGGACAAGGGACAAGGAGGAGATGGGGACAGGCTGTGCCTGCTGGGAGAAGAGAGGATGGGACTGAAGGACAGGGCACTGCACAGGGTCTGGACCTTTGGGGACAGCAGCAGCTGCCTGAGGAAGCCACTCCTGCAGGATCACAGCCCATCAGGTCAGTGCTGCATCAGGAGGGAAGAACTCATCAGGGTGACACTGCCCAGCCTGCCCCTGCCCTGCCTCAGCAGAGCTCACAGCAGCTCCAAGCTGCTCCTCACATGGCAGCTCAACACTGCCCAGGGTGACATGCTGAATGCTGCAAGTAAAATCAAGCTTATGCAACCAGGTGATAACCAATGCATAAGTGAAGCACCCTGTATTCTTGATCACTTCAAAATATTATCATTAGTATGTAATGTCAACATAAGGTAAAAAAAAGAACCCCAAATTAATCCAACATCTTCATACAAGTTGTATTTACCTGCAATTCCTCTGCAGGCCAATGTGAATCATATATATTTGTCTGAAATAAACTGGAACAGCCCCTTTGCAGAGCAGACAAGGATGGAGAGTTGTAGGAGATACACATCCTTCATCAATGCCTTCCTTCTAGGGCCAAGCCCCTTCATTTACTTGAGCTTCAGCTTTTCTGTCCTCAAAGCAGACATAACTTATGCCCACAGTGATGCTGTCACATTAATCCATCTGGTATTTGCCAACACACAGAAGACTATTCTAATGAGATATACAGAAAGCAGGACACCATCATCTGAAGCTGTCTATATTCTTCCTTACAGTTCTACCCAGTTTCATTTCTGCCTGGAAAAGTAGGTCAAAACACTAAACAATAGTTTGTTTGAAGGGAAAAATGCAACTTTTAACTTCTTTTGGCATAAACACCAGTTTTTTTTCCCCCAATTAGCACTCTTAAAATGGACAGGCAGGGTCACAGGACTCTCCAGAGGTGAGCATGAAGGGAACATCTATTCTTGACCTGCTCCTTAACCAGCAAACATTCAATACAAGAGGAATAATTCATGTGGCCAGCAATTGATTCTTGCTTGGGAAGCCCCAGGGGAGAATTCTAATCATGGCAAGCTCACCTTCTTCTGGGACACATTAAAACAGGGGACAGGGGGTGAATGTTCCTTCTGAGTGTCTCCTGAGCAGGTGGCAAAGCAAAGCTTGGGTGCCCAGCTTGTTCTCTGCACACCCTTTGCAGTTCTGGGCAGGACCTCTGGCTGTGGCCATACGCTGCCCCTGCAGCTCCCCCACCACACACAGTAATTACTCTGTTTTCATTAATTGGTCTTAATGCATGCATGCACAGCCACAAATCAAGCCAGCCACTGCTGTGAGTGCAGCAGCTTTGGCTTGGAAATTGCACTTGCCAGGGCTTGTAAAGCCACCAGCCCACCAGCAGAAGCAAATCTGGGGGGCTCAGCTTCCCCCAGCAGGTGCCAGGGGCTGTGTGTGCCTGCTGCAAACTGCAGCATTCCTGGGAATGAACTCATTGGCACAAACAGCTTCCTGATGGGGAGATATTAATGCTGTACTGGTGTCAATGAAACATTACCATCAATTAAAGCAGGCAGTATGGCAGATTTATAAGCCAATATGTAACCAAATATAGCACAGGAGATGTCTGGAAAAACAAGTATGTGAAATAGGCATGACAAATAGAAAAGCTTTATTAAGGGATGATTTCTGTGATCTCTATCTCCCAGAACAGTGATATTTTAACATCCTTATCCAAACAGGAACACAGATAAAAAGGCTGTAAACTCATCTTGTTACCCAGAAATGACTGATGATTTGTACATGAGCAAAATGGTTTCATTTCTACCTCTGACTGGGGTCTGCTAGGGGAGAGTTGTCACCCATCAAGTGACTTTGGAGGGACTAATCAGAGGCATAAATGTAGTTTGTAATAAAAACAGTTGTCTGAGCAATCTATTCAGACCAATATTTGGATTCTTACAGCAAATACTTGAGCACACTCTCTGGTAATGCAAAACAAATTAATAAAAAAGGGTTGGGGGAAGAGCCTTCATGCCTAGCTTGTGACCTAAGGCTGATGAACTCCAGTGCCAAAGCTTAAGAATAGTAAGTACTAAATAGTTACTACTTTACTACTAAATTAAGTAGTAAATAGTTCAGCCAGGCAAAAGCAAAAATGCAGCTGACATTTACATTAAAAGCTATAGTCTTCATGCATCTGTCTCCTTGTTTCTTTTAAAAAAGAACATTTTTATCACTAAAAAGGCCTCAGCCTGATATAGGTGGCAGTTTCAGATACCATGCTACTGACTCAATTTGGACACTTAAAAGTTGTCAGCTCACTTATCAGGAAGTCAAACTCATCAGAAACAAAATCAACTAAGCAGGGCAAAATCACTTTTAGGGTGCCCTGTGTTTTTCCAATTATCACTACAAGTCTCCTTGATGGATTATATAAAAAAATGAGTGTTTATAATATTTAATGAGCCCCAGTTGTGCTCAGGCAGGGCTGACAGTCCCACACTCTGCACAGACATGCACCAGGTACCAGCTCCTACCTTGGCTCCATCCACACTGATTATCCGATAGCTGTTCCTCGTGCTGTCATAGAAGTAGGAAACAGTTACAGCTTGCTTGCTGGCAGGAACCCAGTTCTTCTTCGTGCTGGGGTCAATTTGGAAGACATGGGCTCTGGTGGTGAAGATGGGCTGTTCTCTGGAATAGGGAGGGACAGCAGAAAGGGACACGTGAGTGTGCGGAAGGTGCAATGTCCCAGCAGCCCAGCCCTGAGCAGGCACAGTGAAGGCACAAGGCAGAGAGCACCTGGCAATGCCCCAAAAGAAAAGACAGAGCAGTGACACTGCCCAGCCACACTCCAGCCCTGAGCACCTTTCCTTGGCACCACTAAGTGACATTCAGCACCCTAAAGTTACTGCCATAGCCCAAGAAACAACTGGCTGCTTTGTCCCCATGCTAAACGACCTCAGTACCCATCTATTCCTCAAAATACTTATTTTTCCAGGACAGGACATTCACATGCATTCTTTCTTTCTTTCCCCATCCACATATTTTGCCAAAAGCAGCAAACCCCCACAGCTGGATTTGCCCCTGCTCAAATTCCTGTGAACTGCTACCCACAGCCAGGGCTCCTGTGTGGGTGCACCAAGGACCCCAGTGACATACAGGCATGGTATAATTACTGAAATATTCATCTCTCTCCTCAGAATCCCACTGTTCTGTGGATGTGCATGAAAATTTCATTAGATGCAAACCAGTCAATCAACCTGGGAAGTGAGGGGGGAAAAGAAACAGAACCAAACTCCAGTGTTGATAGAGATATTGCCTTTCAGCTCTCAGTGGGTGATGGAGCACCCCAGCATCCTTTTCCCAAACCCCAGCCTTCCTCAGATGCTTCTTCTCCTCAAGAAGACTGTGCACACAATGGAGGGGTTTTGTTTTACCTTCAATGTGTGACCAAGCAAATCACACAGAAAAGCAGAGGACTCAGGACCGAAAGAACCACATGTGATACACACAAAATCATCTAGGTTAAAGATCAGAATTAAGCCTTTCTTAAATGCCCTAAAACTAAATTCACCACCAACCATACCCTTAATCCAAGTTTAGCAGTAGAAGTGAACTGCAAAGCAAGCTCTGAATTGTTATATGCATTTTCATGCTTTTGGTTTTTGAAAGCTCCATTATATAATGTTTTATATTAGGTGTACCACTCAATATGTTCTTGTCCCATACAAAATATTACATCATGGATAGGTAATTGACAGAATTACTACAGGATCCAAAAACAATGGTACTACAATGGAGCTACCATCCAGAAATTTAAATTAAAATCAAGGGGAGTAAATTGGCAAATAACAAACAAATGAAGTGATTTAAGAGTACAATTATCTCAGGAAAGATGGGGTGAACTTGCAAAGCCCAGCAAGGCCTCAGGAGGAAGAAAATGAATGAGTGGTTTCTTCTTGCAAGACTTACACAAAGTTCTACATTTTTCCAGGGGCTTGCAGGTTTCTGGACAGACAGCTGTGCTGAACCATGTAAAATACTTACTCAAAATAAATTGAAATGACAATGGGACTGTCATATTACAGCTGTCAAAGAGTAGCATTTGCTTCAGTTCTCCCTTATCAGTAACTTGCTGAAGCCAGCTCTCATTTCACAGGCCAATATCGATGCCATCCTCAGCTGGGTGGAAAGAAGGGGCAGGTTTCCTTAACATTTTAAATACTTTCCTTATCCATTACACAGGATTAGCATTGTAACACCTCCAGAGACCATGGAGTTTGTCTGTAATAACAAATTCAAGGAGGGGAAGTTTCCCCCAGGCTGTTTACTCTCTTTAAAAATGTACACTCCTTAAGTGAAAAATAATTTTGGAAATGTTTTCGCCTTTAAAAAGTTCTACATTTTCAGCTGACTCTACTAAAACCAAGGTAGTACAACCCAATATTGTACTGTAAACATTAGGAATTTTCCTCCATAAAAACCTATTCCACAAACAACTTTAATTCTGTTACATTATCTTAACTACACCAGAAAACCCAGTTAAAACTATGCCTGGCTGCTCTGCAGCAGGGGCAGTAAGCATATAAAGTAAATCTGGAGACAATAAAAGTAGAAAAGGCAAAGGCCCCACAACTATCTATCTGTTCAGGAATCTTGGTTGAAGCTGCTGCTGTTGAAGCAGGAGCTGTACACATCCATCCAAGTGGATAAATCAATGGATAGTAAAGCTCAGGGCTGCAAATATCCATCTTTCCACTCATTCTTTCATTAAGTAAAGGCAAACCTGTTTTTAATCCTATGATTATCAACAACAGAAAAGCCCTGCATTTGTCTTTCTGTGTCACAGTAATAGCATGCTAGCTGATAAATTATTAAAAAATAAGAAAATGCAATGTGCAAACCTAAACATCTTAAATCATTTGAGGTAGCTGATCTTTAGCTGGGGCTCAGATTTGGAAGGGCCAGCTGGATGCTCCACATGCCTCTGGTCTTCCTGCCCTAGGTGGCTCTACAGGCCAGCAAAGCCCCCAGACTGATTTCTGACTCCCTGCAGAAGAGAAAGCACCCCCAGAACACAACCTCCTGGATTTCCAGGTGCTGCCTTATAATAATAAAAAAAGAAGAAGCATTTCTGTGGCTCGGTGTGCCTTGCTGCAGTTCTGTGCCCCAAGGAGCCCAAAGAGCCCAGGATTCAGCACTGAGAGCTGGTGCCACCACGTTCCCACACCACAGCAGGATGGCAAAGCCACCAAACTTCAGACACAGCTCTAGCACAGGGGATACACCCACTGCATCCCAAACCCCTCTGACCACTGAGGCACACACAGGCAACTGTGAAACTGTGGCACTCATTTTTCAAGTGAAATGCAAAATTAGGTACTTTTAAAACCCTTCACCATGGCCCTACAAAGCTCCAAATTGAGAATGATTATTCTGTCTTACTCACTTGTAACTTTTCTACGTTCAAGAAAGCACTTTACTGCTAGAGGAATTACTTCATTTCCCAGGGTTCCTTTCCTTTTCACTTCATCAGAGGTTTATCAGCTTTTATGATAAACTAACAGCAATGCTAACCTGAGACTGCAGAGCACATTGTGCCTGGTGTGAGCCCTGTGAGCTGCTCCTTCTGTGTGCTGCCAGCTTGCCTGGGGAGCAGCAGCACTGCCAGCCGGGCTTGGACCCTCACATGAAGGCAAAGAGAATTTATGAATATTTAAAATCTCATGAATTTTAACCAAAGTTGTTAATGATTGATTAAATACTCTTTAAAAAAAACCCAACTGTTTAAAAATCAATTTGACAGTAATATCCAGTGCTCAGAGTAAAGCTGCTTGAAAAGTCGAACAGGAAAAGTAGAAAATCACACCTAATAATTCTTTATCTGGTAATATAATTTAAGACAGAAAATGCTTTTTCATTATTAAATCTGGCAAGCATGTTTTATAAATATAATTGCAATTTTCAAGTCATGGTTTAACACATTTTAGCTGACCTTTAATTTCTGTCCTTGCTTCATAAGAGCAAAATCTCAAGTAAAAAACCACTCTCCTCTAATGTCATTAACCTTTTCCAAAGAATTTAAAAAGCAAGCCACAAGATTCTCGAGCTAACTAAGTGCTTCACAGCTGTGTTAGATACAGTATCACTTTCTGGTTAATATACAACCATGCCAAATTTCACAAGTGTGCGACTAGCTGCAAGCCATGTGTTTTGTATTACTCTTCCTAATCAACAGCAATGAGCTCTCACTTAGGAAAAGTTCAAATTATTTAATTCAAATTTCCTTGTTTATCACTTGAATCATGAGCACAACCAGTGATTTAAATCACTTCAGCTGTAAAGAGTCCTTGCTGATGGCAGCCAGCATCCTCTGGGCTGTGGGATGCTGGTGGCCCAGGGAGCTGTGACACAGCGAGCTCCAGCTGGGTGGCACCTGGGATCCTGGATCCTGGAACCAGCTCCTGACCAGGCACTGACCAGTGAACACTTCTGTGCCACAGCAATCCTTTCTGCTAGTAAATAAAACAAATAAAACTCATGTGGGTGCCTGTGGGATCAGCACCCGGACACGTTCAAATGCACCAAGTGCCCAGTGCACATCAGCTGGATGCACTGGCCATGAAGTAACTGGGACAAAATAATCTCTGTAGGATCTGGAACATCAAGTATATTTGTGACAGGAGCTCTGGTACTCCACTGGAGGCAAAACCACTAATTACACATTTTTTAAAACTTTCACTAGCAGACCACTTAACATTTCCTTAACTTAATCCTTAGATAAGGATTTCTAGTTTACAGCACAGGATTATTTGTGCTGTCTCCACACTAACTGTAGACAACTTTGCATTAACTGTCTAATTGCAATAAAAATATTTTTTTAAAGCACATGTCTCATATATCTGCCATTTGGTGGGGGATGCACATGCCTGCAGAGATTTTGGAACGTGGTGCTTCCTGCTACAGCCCAGCATCATGCACACATTGAGTTTATCATACCTGACAGTGCCAGCAGATCTGCAGTGATTTGCTGTAACAAGTATTAGATAATGAGGATCTCTCAAGAAAAAAGAGTAGATGCAAATGCAAAATCCTACTTTGTGACATATCCCCCATCACTGGTCACAATACAAAAATCTGTATTTGCTAAATGCAACACAATAAAATTGGTGCCAATAGTTATTTGGATTGAACATTGCTACTACTGCCTGTACTGAAAATAATTAATCCTCTATGTACATATATTGTAGTTTGCAGTGCCATTTGTATTTATTCAGATCATGGATGGAGATTTTTCTCCTATTTGAAATACTCATCTTGATGAAAGTCCAGGCAAGTTATGATGCCTAAAAATTACCTATGAAAATAGTTTATCTACCTGTAACTCTACTCACTTGTATATACATGCACATCTCAAACTTTGAAAAACAACCAGCCCCTCTCCCCAAAACACCAAAATCAAAAAAAGGCAGGGCTGTGATGAAGACAGAGCTGCTGTGGGGAGAAGTTGCAGTTCATGGTGTCACACACAGCAATTAGCACAGTGGCTACAGTTTTTTACACAATATTAATCTTTGCTCCAAGCAAAAATTAGAGTTCATTATCCCCCAACCTGTTACCTCTAGGCATTCAACACTTGTGCCCTCTTGGATCAAATCTTTTCAGAAAAAAAGAACCACACAAATGGTTCT